TCTTAAACTTTATTATGCGTATATTAAGAAGCTCTTATCTTGCCTCCGTAAAAATACCTCTCCTGCGCGCGCGACGTCCACGTTAAGTATAGATACTTGGGAGATCATCTGGCATCTGTATCGTCGTGAAGATCAACGGAAATGAGGCGTCGCAGCTTCGTTGACGACATAAATTCCATCGTTGGTAACTCAGGCTGAAGCAACGCTCGATTTTACGATCCCTCCTAGAATTCAATGGAATAAGAGTTACGACGTACTGAATATATCGTGAAAAGAGCGGTATCGTAGCGACGCAGAAAGAAATGAATCAGGGACATTCAACCCTTGGTTAAATGACCGAATATGATCGCTCGAAGCAAAAAGCTCTTACTACTTTTCCTTCCCTTCGGTTGTGCAATTGTTTCCATTCGTGTCGGTTTCGTAAACGCGGGAAGAAGGCGACGAAGAACGCAGGCTGCTTTATAGTTACAGCCTTGGTAAAAGTTTTCCGAAGTTCGAAGACTTGTTGTGCCAACTTCTTTCTTCGTGAAACTTATTCGCCTGTTGATTTTTTAATCAAATGATTTGCAACCGTGTTTCTTATAACGCAAACTTTGTTTCTGCAACAAAAAGTAAATATTGATCAAATTTGGTAAATAATATTTTGCACAAATAACATTTTATAATAATTATTGATTAAATTGATTAATAATTGAATATAATTACTAACAAAAAAAATTTTATAAAAAGATAAATAGATGCTCTTTTAAAGCTCATAATGTATCTCGAGACACGAAAAAGCGTTAGAAAGAAAGACGTTTATGTAATCTTACGAATTGTTCGTATAGAAGAGTATAAATACGATGGAGAGGAAAGGGGGATGACGTACGTCGGTCGGGCTGCCATTCCCGAGCAAAGTGCCAGTAAAGTCAAAGGGACAACGTCACATCCTTTCTAGCGGGATATTCCTCTCTGTCTTCCCCTACGGTGACTTTTGCAGACACCGTCATCATACGCGCATACAATGGCTTTTTGCGAGCGACTGCGTGAATCGCGAAAAAGTGAGACAGCCGTGCGGAAGAACCCTTTGTCTTTGGGGTACATTCGGGGTACTTTCGAGGGGGTCGGCTCGAAGGAGAAAGGTCCACGCTTCGCCAGCCATTCTTCCTTCACTTACTAAGAATGAATGCGGGCCTTTTGTTTTATGTTCAAGGAAAAAATATTACTTTTCTTGAAGAGAAACTTTTACTGTGAAAAAATTGCAGTTATAGTTATTTCATATATGTATACATATATGAAATAATATATATATTTTCCAGTAATTATCTAACGCTTTTTAGTGCTCTCAACTGAAAACATTAAAAGATTTCGCAATATTACAAACGATTTATTAACTATTATTACAAGTATTTCTCTTATAACTTTCAAATAGTTTTTAAATTTCTAAATTATTCGTAATTAAATTAAACATTGTTATCTGAAGTTGCATTTCTCGTTATTTCAAAGCGAAAACTGACAATAAGATATGGCGCTATGTAACAACACGCATCAAATGTGTAATCTTTTGGCGTTCCATTCTCTCACCTAGTTGTAAACCAACAAAGCTGCAAGTGGCACAATGGCGTCGTCGCACACGGAGGAGGCACTTATATGGCATACTAGAACAAAGTAGCGTGACACTTCCAGTAACAGAAGCGTCATCGGACAGAGATACGTCGGAATGTCGGCGTCCTGTCTATCTGTCCTCGGCAGACAATACGAGATCGGAGGACAGACGTGGTCGAACCGCGCCCCTTTCATGTACCACTGATTGATACCCTCGGTGGTCCTGTCCAACGTGGGGATGCAACGGTAATGTCGCCCTCGTTGCCAGTCTCGCGTACGGTCACATTATCAACGCCAGATCCGAAATGTACCGATTAACTGAGCGCTCGATGCTCGACATTACCGAAAATGTCGAATCGCGCGTTCGCCGTTTCGACGGGTGCCGAAGTATAGATGCTCGCTTGGAGGGTGAAGACATGCACCGTCATCGTGTCATATGAGCTCACGTTTTGCATATTACCAGATCAATTAATCGCTCTTAGCGCCATGATATTACGTATATATATAATCTACATTAATATATATATATATATAAAACTGACAATGAAAAGAAGTCATTCATTCTTGAACATCTTTACATATGCTCGTATCGACCTCTTTCTTTTATTCATCCTTTGAATATTTTTGAATAAATCGAGCTTTTTAAAAGTATATTTATTTTTATATAAAAAAAACTTTTAATAAATAGATAGTGCACACAGATACACGTAGGTATACATTTTTTCAACGCCCTTTTTCTTAATACAAGACTTTTTTAAAGTAAGAATATTTTCTTGAAATTACGAAATTTTGGAAAGCCATCTTTGGATGTACATGATGAAACTTTTGCAATACGGCACGTTTCTTTATTTTATGCACGTAAGTGCGCAATAACTTGGTCACAGGATATATTGAAGCGGTAGCGCTATTTCCGCCCGTCGAACGTCGTCGTCGGGCGATGATCAGTATTGCCGTGCTCTCGGTTGGAACTTGTGACAAATGTCGTTTCCTTCGTATCGAACCAGTGTGAGCAGTGACGTTTCAAAGGGTTTATCCCGGCGGCATTAAAAGGTCGGACCCGCGCGGATACCCGCCGTTGCGGAGTTATCCGCCGCATCCGTCGCTTCTTGTTAGAGTGACATTCGCGAGAGACGATCAAAGGCGACATTCCTCGCAGGCAAGAATCTGCGGAATTGCTTCCCAGACGCAAGCCATGCATGACGATTTGGCGAGGAAATTAGCGGGTCGTTGCCTACGCGGCTCCTTGTCATCGGTGTCGCGTCGCTGTCGTACCACGGGCATTTCCTGAATTCGCGTGAGTGCCATTTTAATCGCGCACAAAGCGCCGGTTATAACGCGAATTACATCGGGGAAAGACTTATCGATCTAGGCACACACTGACGTGGGAAACGCGCAAGTAACTCCAATCAATAATTGTGGATTTAAACAGATTTATGCAACGTTTGCAACATTAAACTTTTAGCGATACAGTAAAACACAAGTAAAACTCTTATTTAGATTACTTAAATTATTTCATATGATATCAAATTCTCTTTAAACAAGTTATGCGAGCTATTATATTTCTGCACGTTTATTTTACATATATGTTTATTTTATATGCATGTCTCATATTATTTCTTCGTCTATTTCAGAAGTTATTTCTGCTCTCTCTGGTTCTATTGTCAAATGTATAACTCTCGTTTTAAAAATCTCGGCGATCACTTTCGATGAAGATTTTGATGTTCTAGTAAAGTTACTGTTACTGAAATTAATGTGATAGAAACCGAATTTTACTCTAAAATATATAAAAATATTGAATAAAAAAAAATGTAATATTATAGATATTTGCATTAAATTATTTTTTATTAATATATATATGATTATATAACATCTGTAAAATGTAATTTATAAGATATGTAACATTTTTACCTCTCTGATTGCAATGTAGCTTTTTGAAAATATTACATATAATAAATATAATATCAATTTATCATAAAAGATTAAACTTACCGTAAAAAACTATCTATTAACGAGCAAATCAAATAACCCCGAATGTTGATACCTTTTTGCATAGCTTTCATAACTTGTGATATGTACTGTCGAAGGTAAATTATTCTGTTTATATCCATTATTTCTTCGTTATTCGCAATTTCCCCAATATTGGCGCAACCGTTTTCAATTATATAAACATCGGGTAGTATATAATTGTTATCCAACCACTCTAATAATTTGCCGAATGCCGACATTGTAATCTGCAATCAAATCATGTAACTGTAAAAAAATTATCTTTATGCATAATATATACGATGTATAGTCTCTTATTTTTCGTAATAATCCATAGCTTTTTACCTCAGTGCGTGTATTATATATACTTTCGCTTTCTGAAAGAAATGCAATATCAGCGTCATGTTTGAAAGATACTTCTCCTTTCCATATTTCTTCTGCGCGAATCTTAAATTCTCTCCAAAAATTAATTCCGAGGAAATCGGCGGAATCCTTGATAAGTTGTACTTCTTTGTCCGTGAAATAAGGCAGTCGCGAACGAGAGAATCCTTGAAAGAGACTTTTGAAGTCTATTCGATTTCTCATCAGTTTCGAATAGTCGCCGCTTTTGCTGAAAATTGGATGGGTGAGCCAGCCATTGTACCACTCGAGGCCTCTTCTCTGTCCGTAAATATCGGCTTGTGAATCATCATTTTGCAGTTCCATCCACGTATAAAATTGAATAATTCCAACTTTTCCTATCGCCGATTGCGAAAAAGCGCACTTTTGATACATTGCAAAAAGAACTTTTAAATTCAGATAAATAAAAGTTTGCAATTCGAATGCTTATAGCTCAGGTGACAAGTCTTGCCATTATTATGCATGTTGGTGATACATACCATTTTGTGACTGGCGAAAATTTTCATTATACATATTATACACTTTCGCGTGAGCTAATAGCATATAATGACCGCAAAGATAATCTGCAATGCCAGATTGATTAATTGCCGCTATATGCGTACTGCGGTCAGAATACGCCATCAGATTCACCTCGTTTATGGTAACCCAAAATTTCACCTAAAAGCCGAGTTAGAATGAGCGTATAAAAAGAAACAATACGCATGTAAAAAATTTAGAAAATATAATAAATTTTCTACAACTTTTATATCATATACGTAAAAAATTGCACACTTGTTTTCGAAATTACAAAATTTTGAGAAGTGTGAAATTAAGTTTTCTTCCCTTCACTTGTGTTTACTATATGTACCCTATCTCCGAAGGCGTCAAATATTATTCTAGCATAATCTTGGAACCATTTTACTAGCATAGGATTCGTACATCCTCCCAAAAGTTGTAAATTGAGCGGTAAATCCCAGTCAAATATGGTAACCATGGGCGTCATACCATTCGCTATAATTTCATTAATAACAGTATTATAGTGTTGTATAGCATCCTGGTTAATGAAGTTCGTGAAGCCATGTGGCATAATTCTTGTCCATGACAAGGACATTTTAAACATTTTAGACTGCAAATGAATAAACTTCTTACAAAGACGACACCAGAGCATCTTTATGTCATAATATCCTCGCGGGCAAACTCACATTGATACTTTTTGCAAACAAAATGTCCTCTTTGTAATGCAAGTTAAAATTTGTATATCTTGTAACATTATTCATGATACATTCTGATTCTTCACGTATCATACAACGCAATTCTCTTTCATCTGTAATGACATTGTATCTATTTCATTTTTTTTAGCATTAGTTTGTTTTGTAACAAAAAATAATAATAAAAATATTTATAACATTTGACATTTTTTCTGGCATACTACATATTTTAAATATGCAACTCTCTCTCTCTCTCTCTTAAAATAAAAAAGTAAATCGATAAATAATTGAATATTTTTGACTCTCTCACATTCTCTCTCTTTTATGTAAAAACATTTATTCTTTTTTATTTAAAAATATTTATTTTGATGTTGATCTAATATCTGATATTATTCTGATTTCTCTATCAATCTTTATTTTTATTACTTACTATTCACAACAGGCGCTGAAACACCGAACAGAAAATCTTCCGGAAATGTATTACGAGCCAAAAGATTAGCTAGATAGATTTGTTCTTGAGAAAACTTATATGTCACGCTATCTTCCTTTGATAATATATATGATATATGTTTCTGAGTAAAATAGATTATTATTGTGCCATAAAATTTTAAATAAATTATAGACGTATTCAGATCGATCGAAAACCACATTTTCTTCGATTTTATTCACAAGAGAAAAACACTGTAAAACGAAACCTGCTCTTTTATTTGATACATATAGTACATAATATATATAAGAAATAATATCAGCTTTGCAGTTTTACTGTTTTTATGATAGATATGCGGCCGTAAAGTCTTATGTGATATTAAATTGTTGAGTAAATATCCATCCTTAATTACATCGAAAATGAAGGCAATTATGGCAACCGATAACGGTTGCAATTATGATACAAATGATAAAACTTACACAATATCAGCAATATATGTGAGTATATCTTTTTTTTTAAATAGGAACTTTTATTTAATAATGTTAAATTTATAACAACTGTCAATATCATATATTCAAAAACATAATTGATTTCTAAATATATAATTAATTATTTTCCTCTGTAAAGATCGCTTATTGCATAGTCTTTAAAACCGCCTGCAAATGTTTATGATAATAAACTACACTGCCCCTCCCAATCCATATTGCTATGAGAATCTGCATAATCATTTCCTGTGATCCAAAGTTCAGGCAACGAATAATCATCATGCAAACAATGCTATAAGTTTGATAATCCTCGGTATATTCTAAAATTTACATTACTAAAATTGCCAATAATGCGTACTACGAAATATCAAATGTATTTTAACGTTTCCAACAAGTAAATTTCTTTCTTTATTAAAATAAAATAATTGACTTTAATAATAATATGAGAGGAAATATATTTATATATAAAGAATGTACCTTAATTTCCTTTACGCCAGCCTAACATGACGAATACCTGCATCCTTATCGAATGACGAGACATCAGTGTTATCTGAAAAATTTTCCATAAAAGTTAATAATTGATTCCCAAAAAATCGACAGATCCTATAATTTGCTCGATTTGTAAAGACGAAAAAGTTGGTAAGCGTGAGACTGGAAAATATTCTCCATATAGCTATTGCAATCTATTATAGTCTTTATGATTTTCGGATAATCACCAGTTTGACTGAATATACGTGAACCAATTGTAAAATTTATACGCCTTTTTTGCAGTAGCTATATCGAATTTTGATTAATTCTGTTTAGGTACAAACTATGTATAATAATTGAGTATTCTTAATTTTTCTGTAATTGATTAACATTTTCAATATATATATATAATATTAAAAAGTTAGAAGAAGAACCAAAAAGTTTATGGGACCCCCTCTACTATATCTAATATATAAATCTAAACTTTTTATAATTTAAACTTTCTGTAATTTAATCTAAACTTTTTATGTATTTTTCTATTTTTATAGTTTATCAAATCAACATTAAAATTACCTTCGATTCTTAGCATAGTAATAGAAACTCTAAACTTTTTTGAAAATTTTAATTGAAAATTTTATTAAATTTATTCATGTCATACTCGTTACATTCCATGCGTCGTCACACTGGTATGCCGAAGTACGTAGTTACCCCGAAACAGAAATTGTTTGGAAATTTATTACTGGCAAGAAAATTTGCATATTTTATTTCAGCTGGAGAGAAATGATATTCAAATATCACATTCGGTGTGTTATTCGACATGATATAATATTTTTGAAATATGTTGCTAATGTAATTCATAATCACACTCGGAATCATAAAAACTGAAAAGAAAGCAAGAAGCATTGCTAAAAATTTTGAGTGTTGCAAAGAGAAATATAAGTACGTTGTAAATAAATGTCATAACAAAAATGTAATATGAAAATCAATTTAATATTTATTTAATAACTATTTACCTTCTTAAAATGTTGAATGCAATACGTAGACAAGTTTTCTACAAAGTAAAAATGCAAAAATATATATTGCGCAGATCTAATTTGGTATATCGCACAAATTATTATTGATATACATATAATTACATAATGTTCTGAAGGCCAAGTCTAACATGTATGCGAGTAAAAGATAATTGAAGCAGTACTTTAGTGATATAGTCAATGGCTCTTACGCGTATTTCTTTCTTAATATAAAAATACACATTTTAAAAAGTAAATATATAATTTTAAACGTGTATAATATTAAATTATACATAACATATTGAAGATAATAATGTATAGTGTCCTATTTTTAATAATATTTTTATCCGATATTACTGTATTGGTTTATTACAACAGATATTAAAGAATGTTAAATCTTATTTTATCTTCGATATTATGGGTAATAAGTATATATTGCTGTAGTTTTTCTTGCCACACAATCTTATATTTGAAAAATATTTGCCTTTCTTTACGCGTCATTACATTCGACTGTTACAGTTCAGTGAACATCTTTTACCGTCGACCATTTCCCACTTTCGTAGTATTGATCTTACCTACGATCTTCCCTAAAAGTATGAAGAGAAATTTATTACTGCAAACTTTTTTCCTTGTTTGAATATTTATGAAATTTTTACATTTGTACCATATATTTTCCATAAACGTAAATGATTTACAGAAACTGACAGTGATCAGAAAATTAAATAATTTATTAACTGTAAGAATGATTCGGCTACAAATTGAAAGTACAATATTTCCAAAAGACACATGGGAAAAGAATTTTATATATAAAAAATGAATAATATATATATTTTTTAATAAATATGTTTGAAGGTGCATAAAATATATTGATTTATCAATTGGTCAGTATATTAGACAGAGGTACAATGTTGATATCTTTTGCGAGGTATAGCGAAACAACGAAGAACTTTCTTCGATCGTTGATAGCACCACAGAGTATCGATCTCATTAATAGTTTTTATGTTTTTCGATTTACCCAGAGTGACATTAAATGATTTCTTCAGAACGGATGATGCAATGTATGGATGTATCTATATTGCAAATCATTAATTAATGGAATATATATTTAATTGATTTTAGTTAAATGATGAATGTTTAATTATAAACGATTTTTTTAATCACATATTATAATATTTATAATAAAAACAAGTCACATTTTTCTAATATATCTACGATTTATGAAGCCACTTTACACACGAATATGGCGAAAATACGGTAGACAGAATAATGCAGGATGCCAGCCATCTCGTAGTACATAGCTGTACCTCATACATCACCATCTGAAGCATCCGGTATTACTCTCTCATATGCTGTGAGCACGCAATATCCTGCCATGTTACATCTAAGTAAATACTATCGAATGCTTTTGCGAGTCGGAAGATTAAAGACTGAAGCCGATCGAAGGCAATCACTCGTACGAAGGCAATTACTCGAAATTACATTAACTCATACAGCACAGAACATTGCAGTAACATTACGGCAATTCTGTGATGTATAGGAAGCAATTTCTTGAGATTAAATTAATTCGGATTCGTCAGAAATATCTAATTAAAATATGTAATTAATCATATGTATATATATGTATACTGATTCAAATATATATCGCATAATTTTTTTTGCGATATGCATAAAAAGATCATTTATTAAATAATTTTTTAATTTCTTAATATTTTCTATAAATACTTTTATATATATATAGCTAATTATAATTTATATTTGATATAAAACTTTCTACTGTAAAATGAGAGAATATTGGCACATAACAAAATATATCAATTATTTATTCCGTCGTAAAAAAAAAGCTTACGTGATAATGCAATGGACCAGGTCCTTTAATATCTTCCTTTTTTTCACGAGGAGCGTAACATATCACGCCATTCTTTACGTTCTTTGATACATCTCCGCTGAGATTGTAGTGTGCTGGACCTATGCACACATAGTAATAATGAAAAAGCTTTCCTAACAATTTCTTTATTTCATTTACTTTACTTTATACCTGGTACATGGGAATCGCTTTCTAGTGTTATCGGAAACCGACAGGCGCGTGAACCGAAGGATGGGATTAATTCTGGGCAAAGAAAATCGCATCTATCACGATTAGCCTTGAAGGCTGATAAAGCTTCGTAAGCACCTGGATCCGGCACATCATCCTATGAAAATTAAACGAGTATAAGCTTTAATCCGTAGCAAATTAATATTGATATATTATTTTATTACATTACGATTTTTACGAGGCCTAAAATCATTTAAATTTTTATAATCTTAGGTATGTTTAAATCCTGCTCAATAAAATTAAAAGATTGGGAAATAATAAGAGAGAGAAACTCCGCTTTTCTTTATAATTTAATTATCTAGGGTGGATGCCGATTCGACACAAATCTAAGCGCCGATGTTTCCGGCAATCCACAATTCGCATTACAGAGACAGAGACACCAAGCAGGGATTGGCTCGAATTTCCGGCTCAGCGAGCCGGAAGTGATTTCTCCGGGTAACATCGGCCACGCGTCTCTACATGGAAATGACCTGCAGAGCACAGCAAAATGTCATTTCCGGCGTACAGTCGCTACTCTTCCCTACGTTATGTAAATACAGCTCCCTCGGATTGGTACGCCACTTATTGTGCCGCTATTATTATTGACAAAAAACATGCAACGAATGGAAAGATATTCACTGATATCACTCACAGTTATCGCGAAATAATTTAATCATTCAGTAAAGAATTAACACGACTAGTCAACCGCATTGGTTTACCAACACGATACATGTAGTCACATCGAACTGCGCTCGCAGTTTTGCACCATTTCAATTGTTTAAGTGAGACGCCAGCTAATCGAACCTACACGAACTCGTCGAACACAGCGGAATCAGCAGCAAGTCGTTCGGCACTGACGGTTCTATCCTGGTCTATCTACGGGCTGCGGCATCGAATCTCGTCCTGGCGCTCTCGATTAACGGCCAGATTGGATCCTAGCCCCGAATCGCCCCGGGTACAGATGCATCGGTCCGATCCACTACCATTAATTTCGTCTCCGAGTCTCCTGATTACCTTGCGCTTCCAGGATTACTCGGGTCTACCGAGCCCACGGATTCCTAAGCGAGCTGAAAGAATCTTCGGACGTCCGGTCTGACCGCAGACTTATCGTGACTACTAGTCCAAGTTTCTCGCCGTCTTATTAACGTTGCACAAGTAATTTCAACTACTCTATTTATATCAGCGATCTCTCTCTCTCTCATCACACATTAATTTGTTTTACAATAATCCATTAAATATATAGCGTATAAAAAATGTATTATTATATTTTTTCTGCTTATTTTAATTCTATTATATTAATCTTTTTTTTTTAGTCTTCTAATTATTTTGTTATATAATTTCACATTATATTATATAAATAAAAAATATAATTGATCTCTTACCTTTGTGCGAATAATATTCTAAATATAAA